AGTCATAACAAACACGAAGTATAATGGGGGTGTTTGGCAAATGGTTGTTGGTTGTTAGCCGTTGGCCGATTGTGTTAGCTGATCGATGACAGAACTACCAAGAATCCACCACAACCCTTGAGAAAAGTAAATGAAAACTATCAAAAAATTCTCTATATTCCTACCGTTATCTATATACTACCGGCACAAAAGAAATCACACTTAATGATTTATTGCTTGTGCCATTAAATTCTCAGCACAACTTGTAGAAAATCAACTCTTATTAACTCTCGTAGTGTCATTTGAGACAGCCAAAAAGTGTACTCACAAGAACATTTGGAAAAGAAAGACTATTGAGGTGAGTTTAAAAGTAGACAAAACACTGATCGAGTAAAGATGATTTATGCGATTAAAATCATGTTGATGGAATGTATGGAAAGAGAAAGTCAAAACAATTTTTACATTTGGAAAATACAAAAAAGTCTTTTTTACACACTCTTATACACACTTTTATACACATCTATGTTTGGGAAAGGTTTTCTTTTTGTCCGTGAACATCGATTCACAGACAATGTTTTGCACAAACAAAATATTGTCTGTGAACCGGATTCACAGACAAAAAAAAATCTTCACAAACATGGTGTGTATAAGGTGTGTACAAGGATGTGTACATCAAGCACTTTTGTGGAAAATATTAGACACTATAATAATTGTTTCATATTTGAGACTCTGAGTAGCTGGTCCAATTTGAGAACCCAACGGCTACACGACTCAAATCCTAATACAAAAGTAGACACTTACCAAATTTATTTTTGTAACGTGTGAGACTTTATCAACAGTTGTTTATCCTACAAATGGTCAAAAGTTGGAGGAGGAGGGAGCAATGAGTGGATGACACGTAGCAGGAGCGGGAGGAAAATGGTTGGGTCAAACCGGCAGCGGCAGCAGCCATTACTGCTTCCATGTGAGCCTAGCCCACCTCGCTGAAGGCCCCTTCTTCTCTGCCACTTCCCCGCACGTGTTCTGACACTTTTCCCGTTTGATATGGTGGGCCGGTAGGGGCTCACTCTACATTGGATTCGGCCAAAGGCCCACTATCTTCTGTCTTTGCATCATTAAAATAGTGTACCACACCACCGGAATGGGTACTTTTGGAAAACTGCATCTTTGAATCCCAAATCTAAAAACCTCAAATTTATTGGTGACAACATATTAAATGTGAACATTATTAAAGAAACAACATAGTCATTCGATGTTAACCACATACTCCGTATTTGTTTTTTATACGAAATGAATTTTTTGAGTACATCCGAAAGGACGAAATGAATGTATATAATGTACCAATTATAAAAACATTCTTAATTAGCAAATTATACCTGGGTACCGGTACACCATGCGCATGGTATACCGGTATCAATACGGTATCGTTCATGTAAATAAAAATTCAATCATCTCTTTCTATGAAAATCTGCACCGTCCTATGTACAACCCTCAAACAATCTACCGATCAACATATTCCGGCAGTCATTCTGAATACTTCCATAGATTCAATCGCACATCAAAAAATCTATTTGTACACGTTTTCTTATACACGTTCTTATATACATGTCTGTAGTAGGTTATTTTTTTTGTCTGTGGATATTTTTTTTCTTTGACAGACAAAACACGCCGATTCACAGACAAAAATATGACCAGTCACAGACAAGTGTATAAGAACGTGTACAAATAGAATGACTCATCGCACATATATCTCCTCACAGAAGAGAAAGGATGAATCGCGATGTCCAAAAAAGATTAATTAGTAACTAGCGAAATCGATCGAGAGAGATGAACTAGCGCACAAGCTTTACTGAGATGCTGACGCAGTGAATTCTTCCACTTTTGGATTTAAATTGGGGCACCCAATTGAATCTGAAACTCATCTATTTCAATGTATATGGTGATTTACCATAGTCGCACATATATATGTAATTTTAACTTTATACATAAAAGAATTTTTGTTAACCTAAAAAGTTTTACTGTGAATTTTCCTTAGAATATGAATTAAATAATAAGATTACATGTGTCTTCCTCGAGCTACATCTGATAATTCATGAAATTACATCCTTTAATTAACGATTTACATCTTCATGTGCATGAGTTACATCTTTTTATAAGCGAGTTACATCTTCTTAAGCGCGAGTTACATTTGGACTTGCCTCAACAAGTTACATTCTGTATACACCTAAGTTACATTTTTCATCAACGCAGGTTACATTTGTAAAAGCATGAGTTACATAAAAAAAAAGCAACCCCTTCTATTGAAACAAAAAAAAAAATGTTTTTTTTAAATTCTTTTGATGGTCATGATATTAAAAACAAAACATATTCACGATTTATGTAAAGTAATTGTGCAGTTAGACTCTCATTTTTCATTGTTTACATTGACATCAATGTGTTATTGATTATATACTATGTATTTGATAAGATACATTTTGACTGGACTTGAGTTACATTGATCAATAACGTGAGTTACATATCTTTACACGCGAGTTACATCATTCATGCTACTGGGATAAAAGGATTTTAAAAAAACAGCTATTGTACATGTGTGTACTGTTCACGTGATTTTTTAAAAAAAATATGCAAAACTACGTCGATTTGAAAGTGGAGTATGGTGTTCACCGTGAGATGATCTCACAGTATACGAACTCTTCTTAAATGAGTTGTGGGTCACCGTTGCCTATGACATTACAACTATAATAATTAAAATATGTCTAATTTTCACGCACAAAATTTTACACATAAATTTAAGATTCTTACAAAATTTAGTGTTGGGTTTTACTTAGAATGGACATGAACCTATAATGATTTCTCACGCCATGTCCCTTTTTATACACAATGTGGGTTTAAACGATTAAAACAATAGGTAATACTAATAGTTGTGTGCCGGAGCCAAGGGGGATCAGGGTGGTCAGCCGACCCAGCTGAAAGTTTAAGACTTTAGAGCTCTGGAATACCTTCGATTTGATATATTATGGGTTCCGTAACTCATTACGAGTAAAAAGTTATGACTTCTGGAAAAATCAGCACCATCTTAACTTGAAATAAGCAAAATTTAATATGTGACGTTGATTATATTCTTAAATTTAAAAATAAAACAACTTATTCAGTCATTAGTTGTGTGAACATTATGATACATTACCTATATATCAACACATTAACCGAAATTTTTTCATTAAACTACCATTTATCTCAGTTACATATGAAACATTTAACTCAAGTATTGTATAATAATTATCAATCATTTCGATACTGTATATAATTAAATTTCGACCCCGCTCATACATTTTTCTGACTCCGCCCTGAATACTATCGTATAACACAATGAAAATGAACGTGAGACTTTGGAAATGTATTCTCTCAAATTGAAAAACAAGAAGAAATAATAGCCAAACTAACATTGGGACGTGATGTCAACACACAAGTTTGATCTTTAATGTATTTTATTCAAAGTAGAGTGTAAATAATGTAAAATTTAATCTCATACTGCTAATAACAACTTAGTACATAAAAATTATGGCTAGAGTGTAATTATGATGCCATGACGCGCGGGCCATCCATGTCCTTGTGCAACCGGCGTTCTCTTATAATCTCTTATAATCTGTTTGGTGGGAAGAACCGAACAACTAGTGTGATGAAAACAAAGTTACAAGAAGAGAAACATGTAGGATTAGTACTTTAGTAGCATTATATGGTCCAAAAGAAAGTGGAAGCATTAGGGGTTGTATTAGGTAATATTAACTTTGTCCTAAAATAAATTTCATTCTTTATTCCTTCTTTTAAGTTTAACATAATTTATTTATCTTTTCTAGCAAAGAATTTACGAATTATTTTTCAAAAAAAAAAAGAATTTACGAATCAATGTTTCTCTCAAAGTTTTTTTCATGCAAATTCCACTTTCCTATTTCCGTGTCAAATTATACTCCGTATATGAGACGGAGTAATATAATTAGATTTGGCAATAAGTAGCCAAATTATGTCAATAAGTAGCCATCATTAGATTTGGTAAATTTGGAGTATTTACTCCAAATGATGGCAATCTTGAAAAAAGTCGTGTGTCATTGTCGATAGTAAGGTGTTTTTACTTGGACTGTAATTCATCCCAGACTAGACCAGATCAGACCAGACCAGACTAGTTCAAACCAGACCAGACTTGGATAGTTATAAAAATACAAAAAAATCAGACCAGACCAGACCAGACCAGTTCAGACCAGATCAGACCAGATCAGCAAATTACAGTCCAAGTAAAAGCATCCTAATACAAAAATAACACCCTTGGTGCCATACATGGTCGGAGTATTCACCCAAAAGGCATAAGAGAAGCATGGTTAGCACTTAGCCGGTAAACAATTGTGTTCTCGCTTTTACAAAATATACAAATTAAATCTTATACAAATTAAGATCTTTTATATGACATCAATATTACATACATAAAACTTTTTAACAAATTGATTTTTAATTTTTAAGGTAGATCGAAGGGATGAAAATAAAATAAAGATCCAATGCTTACCGTAATTTTCACATTTTCAGTATTTTAATAACATGATCCAAAATAACCATACAAAAATTTAACTTCAAATTTATTTATTTTTCATCCAAATGTGTCTAAAACAAAAACCAACCCTCTCCCCCTTCCCTCCAAAATCCCCCATCCTAACAAACCCCTTCTAAGTTTAATTCTTGATTCACCATATTTATATCACTAAACTTAGGTTTTCAAAGAACCCAAGTGTACTGCAAAAGTGCAAAGAACCTTCAAAAACCTCTGATAACTTTATTTTGAGGAACCTCTTAATCAAAGGTTCGCATAGGTAAAATTGTCTTTATTAATAATTCTAACATGTTCACCTCGGATAAACCTTCATTTGATTAAATTTTTAGGGCATTCAGCAGACTTAACCAAAAACATTTAAATATTTACTCACACAGGTTCACATTTAGGTTCACCGGTTTTACTAAACTTGGGTTCACTTACGTTTGCCATATTTACTTAAGTTCACTTCATCCAAACAAGCTGCAAGTGTTTACTTTAACCCCGGCTCTTTTACTCATTTCATGTTGTTCATACAAAGACTATGATGTAGATGAACAGAATAATAGAGTAGCTGAGTAGGTCTCAACAGAAGCTTCAAAAAACTGAGCTATTTGATCAAAGAGTTATCAGGTTCTAGTATTGAATACATGAAGTCAGGTAGGTTACTCTTCTAGTGTTCCCGGAGGATGTCGGCCTGTCCATTCACAGGAGATGCAACAGCAAGAGTGACCAACCCTCCCAAAACAACAATCAACATGCCCAAAGAATTCACCACCAATGCCTCTGTTGAATAGCGTGATATTATGTGATTGGTTTGAAGAAATGTGACTTTCTCTAGTAGCCCAGTAGTGCAAGTAGCAACAGCAAGGGCATATATGTATATTCCAAAGAAAACATGCCATGGTAGTAGACTTGCCCTGCTGTTCCTTGATCCGCCAGGATACCAGAATGTTGAAAACCCAAGTGCCCACTGTCAAGAAATTATTTTAGTAATGAAGAAACAAATGTATATATGTGGAGTATTAGGCTTCGTTTGGACTAATCAGCTTACTGTGCTTATCAGCACAATAAATAGCTTATGATTTCAACAGATTTTGTTTCCTTTCAGAACCACTCAAAGAACACTTACCAAACAGACCCTTATATTGTTTTTTTAGAAAAAGACCCTTATATTGTTTTAACTCATGTACAAAAAAATCAACAAACAGGCAAAACCCAAGAAGAGTAAGAAATTTAAGAAGTGGACCTGGAAACCAAATAGAAAGAGGCAGACTAGCCCCAACCAAGAATGAAGACTGTAAAAATTGTCAATGCCCTTGTCGTTGTGAAACTTTAAAGCAGCCCAAACACCAATTACGCCTAAAAATAAAGCAAAGGATTGCACAACAAGGTGTACTGATTTCTTGAAGTTCTTCGTCCCTGATATTGTCTTGTAAGCCAGCATAGCTGTAAATAACAATCAATGCAAAATGTATTTAATAGAATAAAACACATTAATGGAGTGGAAGATGCATATGGACACTCCAATGCACAATTTGAATGTTTTTCAAAATGCAAGTCTCTCAATATGGGTGATATGCAAGTCTCAACCTTAAAACTTATGCAATTAGGTTAGAGAGAAAAATCATCTCTTTATACGATGGATGAATTCCCGATCTGGAGTATTTTAACATATTTAAATAAATCAATTATTTAACCAGCCCCTCCTCGGCTAGTTCTGCTTGGTTCCACCCCAACCGCAATTAGTCTCTGATTAAGCTTAGCCCAGTCTGAACCTTGTGGGCACTTAATGCTTGCTGTGACATTGGTGATTGGTCCATCTCATAGCACTGAAGTTTAACAAAGTTTTCAATCTTCCAAACTCTTCCAGTCAGAATTTTCATTAAGGAGCTAAACAATAATATATGCACCTGATTTTGTGGTCAAAGAGATCTAAATGAGCGATGTAATTGCCCTTTCTGTTATCTACTCAGCGAGTACTCAGCGAATACTTAGCGAGTACTCACAACTCGGGGTGACCATTTCGTTCAGCAATCCAACTCGGCCTGTCCTGTTTTTCCGAGTTACTCACCGTTACCGAATACTCGGCGAGTTTCTTGACTCGGGGAGTTACTCGGCCAGGCATAAAAAAAATTGTTAAATCTGAAAAGTTTTAATTAAAGAGGGATATAACGGAATTTATAAATAATGAGTGAGTATTTTAAAAATTGGAAATAAACCTTAAAAGTCTAGGTTTAGAAGTATCTCATTCACTGGTTCCTCCTCATCTCTAGGTAAGTTATTCTCCTGCATGGCTCTATCTTCTTTCTCCCTTCTTCATTAATATTCTCTCCCGCTACTTCTTCATTAGTTTTTTTTTCATATAAAAGAATTATATCAATATTATATCACTATAATTTCAGACATTCACATTTTTAAAATTAATTAATAGAGGGCAAAGCGGTCTCCGAGTAGTCCCGAGTACTCGGTCCTACTCGCTACTCGGCCGTTGCCAGAATTGCACAGAGTAGCGATTTAACTACTTAAATTTTCCCTAACTATGAAAGAAAGGAAAATGTTATTAAGAATCACAAAGTAACAACAGGCTAGAAAGTCCATTCATTTTACAATAATTAAAAAAGGTATGGATGTCTATTCCAACACTCAAACCCATATACAGCAGAGTAACATACGCAGATTGTAGGTAGAGAAGAAGTAATGTAATGAATTGTGTAGTTGTAGATATTACCTTCACCGTTTAAGAGTACAAGGCCAATAACCATTAAAACAGGATGAACCTGCAGACAGCAGAAGTCACATGATATGAGCTTGGAAAATGGGAATATACAAAGACTGTTTTAATCCTTCATCCATGGGGTCACAATATAAGAAGATACAGTTTTAATTAACCCTAAATGGGACTTTGAATAAAAATCTTGACTCAAACCAAAAGCATATCCAGCTAAGAATTGGAATCAAAGATCCCAGGAAATTACATTGAAGATGAGATCTTTGTTTTCGGAGATGAGGGCCAATCCTCCCCTGTAACGCATGGTCCAAGTAATGACCATAGCCGCCACTGCGATCCCTATGATCCTCACCATCGTGAAGATCGGAAATTTTACTGCCGGCACCGCCATTGTTGACCCCTTTTTTTTATCAATGGCGAATTCACTGACTCTAAACTCTTCCAAATAATCCTATTTAGGGGTTTTCAATTCTTCTGATTGGAAGATCAGAGCTCAGATTGGTGAGAGGGCTGCCCTACGATCATCCTTCTCGACCTTTACAAGCTGAGTTGGGAGTTCCAACGTTGCCCACGTCACGCACGGTAATCCAAGTTATTTACTGACGAATTAATGGATTGTAGGGTAATACTACAGATGACTCGCGCACTAACTAAATCTGTTGAATTCTTTAAAGCAGAAGTGTTTTAATATGAATAAATTACACTTTTCGCACCAACTCAACAATTAATCCACGTATTTGACTTTAACCACTTTTAGTACATGACTATTGTTTTTCATCCATATATAGTCTTTTTCCGGTGGTTGAAATGTCTGCAGATGGATCGAAAATGATCAAGAAAACAATAATCAAGTATCAAAAGTTAACAAAGTGAAAGACGTAAACTAAATATGGAATTGACATAGAAAGTAAGACCAAAAGTGGAATCAATTCTTTTAATATAGACTAGTGACTATAAAAAAAATAGACTAGTGAAATAAGTATGCTAAAAGATGTTTATTCCGCTTGTAAACTAATAAGCCATAATGGGAATTTTGTAAACTAGCAGAAATTTTGGGGATTGAGATCTTTTACCTTACTCTCAAATGAATGGCGGAGATTAAAAACCAAACTTCAAGATTCGAGTAAAAAATGGAGCCCTTAGGGGGTGTTTTGAACTAATTCTGATTCTGCTTCTTTTTTAAAGTAGAAGCAGAATCATAATCTTATAGTATTCATTTTTTGATGGGGGGTTCAAAATGCAAGGTAGCTCCCTTGCCTGCTGAAGTAAGACAGCATTTTCAAATTTTAAGAAAATCTGTTTTTTTGTAGTAGATAAATATTGCAGCACTTTACGCCATTACGGTGTGTACACCCACACCTACTGTTTAGAACAGAAAAGAATACTGTGTTGTGATATTTGACTGTTTGAGTAAAATGTGATGAGATTAGTTTTGCCAAATGAAGAAAAATGAATATGTAAACGGGAGAAAGGTAGTAATCCAGAACCAAACTTTGATTGATCGATTAGAATTAAGCACAAAAGTGCACGTGTTCCTTATTTATGTCTATAACTGCCAGAGCTTATATATTCCGCAGTTTCTAATTTCAAATCTAGTGTTCTAAAAATCGTAACATGGTCTGTAGGTGATTGATTAGGAGACCGTTTGGCAACACAATTTTTCAGCTATTGATGGACTTGGGCCGGGTCGGGCCCGGGTCGGGCCTAGGCCCGGTCGGGCCGCCGGGTTGTATGACATGGGTCCGGGACCGGCCCGAGGGTTGGACAGGTCCGGTTCGGGTCACGGGTCGGGTCCGGTTCGGGCCGGTTAATTTTTTTTTTATATAATTTATATTTTATAGTTTATAATTTTATACGAGTATTAAAAACAAACTTCAATTGCATTTATTTGAAATGAGATAGGAACTACATTTGAAAATTAAAACAAACTTTTAGAGAAACATTTTGAAAATTGTAATCAATCGGAACTTCCCGCACCTCCCGATCCTTTGGCTTTGTCACATGACTTCATGTGCTTGATTGTCATCCCGAATCCGCCTGAAACCCCCATGCTACATTTTTTCTCGCACCATTTGCAAATTGCGTACCACATCCCGGTCTTCGGGTCCTTCTGCTTATCAAAATTATACCGTATAATGACATCTTAATTTTCCATCTTAACTTCTTAAGTATAAACTATAAAGTAGATATATAAATAATAAATATAATATATTGGAGAATAAGAAAATTAGAGAGTAGAGAGTTAAGAATAGGATTTAGGAAGAATTGGAGAAGAGATATGAAAAAATGTTTAAGATTAGGAGTATTTATAGGTTTTTTTACCCCCCCACCCCCCCCCCCCCCCCACCACCCAACCCCCCGGATCCCCCCTTTACCCCACCCAACGGCTATATAGCCGTTTGGGTTGTCCCCAGCCCCACCCCCAACGGCTAGTAGCCCAAGAACCAAATTTTTTTTTTTTTAAAATCTTAAGACCGGACCCGGGCCCGGGCCCGACCCGACCGTGCCGAGTCACATTAATCCAGCACCGAGCCCGCCCCGCCCATTCCCACCGGTTCGGGTCCATACCCGATCCCAGACCGCCCGACCGGGCCGGTCCCGAGCCCGCACAGTACCGGGCCGGGCCGGGTCACGGGTCGGGTGGCCCGAACCGAATCCACCCCTATTTTCAGCTTATCAGGCTTATCAACCAACTTTTTCACCAAACACGTAATTTTTGCTTTCGCGCACTAAGTTGTGTAATAAACAGAAAAAGTAAGCTTGAAGTTACTTTTGTGACTGTATTGGCTGAAGTTACTTTAGATGACCATTTTAGTTATTTTTACATATACTTTATTCTTCATTTTATTAATAAAATATATTTTAAAAATAATTTTTTCTTAAATCAGCAGAATCAACCAATGCAGTCACTTCAGTCAGAACTTCATAAATTTCAACAGAATCAGTCAAACCAACCGATTTTCATGCTACCAAACAGGCTCCAGATCTTACACATCTTAGCGCCTATACAGAATCAAATGGAATCAGAATCTGGGCAGAACAGATCAAGAAAATACGTATTAGGAATGAACCGTTCATTTTGCAACTGGCAACAACAAAACATCACTTTCAACCTTCACTAGAAATGGTCGACCATGAATCTGATATGAACATTGATAAAATAAAATAAAAATATGCCACTGCAAAAAGTTAACTATTAATTAATTATACTAATATCAAGTCAGGAAATGTCACATGAAGGAGATCTCCTAACAAAAATGAAAACAATTAATCTCGGACAAATCCATCTAAACCCTAAATTGATGACACCTAGAAGTCCAAAACCAAATGTTTTGAATGAGGGTGGTAACTGGTAAAGAGTGTATAACATCATCCTTGGTGCACAGAGCAGTCGTCACCTATATCTTGGGTACGAACCAGACAAATAAGCACCGTCATCTGCAGCTAGTGGGCTTCTTCTTGCTCTGTCAGACAACGATCTCCTAAAGCCATCTATTGGGCCACCACAATTGGAGTCATAATAATCCCCGTGTCTGTATGGAAATGGGCTGATCTCAGCGAAATGGCCCATATGCCGCCATTCATCATTGAAGTCTAACTGTCGCTGTGGATCGCCTTCCCCTTCACACCCTCTAAACCACCCATGTCGACGGGCTTCTTCTTCAGAATTGCTATGCCACATCCTCATACGAGATTCATCTTTAAAATCTTGAAACCACTGCTTCGGGTAACCTTCGGCTTCCAAATCCCTGAACCGCTGATTCAGAGGACCTTCATTGTCGATACTCCAAACCGACTTCCTCATACGAGCCTCCTCTTCAAAATCTCTAAACCACTGCCTCGGACAACCTTCTGCTTCAAAATCCCTAAACTGCTGACTTACTGGGCCTTCGTCTTCAATACTCCTAAACCAATGTGGTGGAGGTCCCTCTTCTTCAAAACTCCTAGACATTTGGGGTCCACTTGGGATGCAGAAAATCCTAGGGAAAGATGGTAGGGGTAAATTTTGGAAGGAAAGAAAATGCAGATGATGAAAACACTGTTTCAAACTTGACAAAAACAATTTTAAATATTTGTTCTGTTTATTTTTTTATTTATTTATTTCTATCATATAAATACTAAAAATATAAACATGTGTAAAAAGCATTATAAAAAACAATCATATTTCATTTTCATTACATTTTTTGTGGTGAATCTAAAAACAAGAGAATAACTCTCCCTTCGCATTTTAATTCATTTCCATAGCATTTTCGGAGATCAAAACAAAGTCTTTGGATTCATTTGGATCCCGGAAAAATAACTACATAATGGAAATAGGGATGAAAATTGAGAAAAAATAAATAAAAAATGTGGGGAAGTTTAGAATAGACACAAACTAAATAAATTTAGTTTTTTCATATTCCTTTTATTTAATTATTCATTTCTGTTATATAAAGATAAAGAACTATAACTGGACGAAGCGTATTATTCTTTTTAGAGAATTTAATCGCCTTTGTTGTCCTCTGCGTTTTCCAAGGTAAAGGCGAACAAAATAAAATAACTTCCCCTGGTCTTTCTTTCATTTCTATAGTAGTTTCAGTTATCCAAACATACCCTTGCTGCTCAAGATCATGGCCTCTTTTGACAGTATCTGGCGTTGTATTAGCATGTCTTCTATAAGGACGAGCTCTTGAGGCTGAACTTGAGGGGCCTACACCCCAATGCCGTTTATCTACATTATCGGGAATTGGAGCATTTATCCCTGGAAATCTAACGCTCATTTTCTTAGGTGGCTCTACAGATCTCTCAAGAATTTCTCTGGCATCTGCTTCTTCCGTAGTTTCATCATTGCCAAATATTGTGATTCCTGACGGCAGATGATCTTCTTCGGGATCTAGAAAATATTAGGACACAAGGAATGAAAAAACCAATATAGTTTATCATTATCCAGGCAAAAGTGGCAAAACATTATAAGCCTAAACAGAAAGCTGTAGTAGCAGCTTGGGTTGGTCCATTGATTCGTGTTAAAAATCGCTCAAGACATGACCATGTCAAAAGATGAAGTGCCCGTTTGGTAAACATTTTTCCCTGTGTTTCAGCAACCAATATTTTCATCAAAACACTAATGAAACAAAAGTAGTAAACAAGATGCTCTTTTTTGCTGAGATCCATGAAGTTGCGCCTTAACCTTTATTTTACATCATCATTACCCCAGTGCCGCAAAGGCTCCCACCTACGGTGGGGTAAGGGGGGTAGGATGTACGCAATCTTACCCCTATACTAAAGAACAGAGAGACCGTTTCCCAATGACCCATAGTGAAAATCGCGTCGAAAATTACATAGACTGACGGTTACTTCATAACAAAGAAGCGCAGACAATTCAGTGAGCCATTTTGCTTCATTCCATCATATTCCCAAGACAAAAAATAGTGAGTCTTTGGCTCCATTGAACAGATTCGGTCATTTAAGGCCTTACCGAGCAGACTTGAAGAGAAAAAAAGAGAGTCGATAAAATCTGAGAAAAGTTCAGTTACCTAGATAACCTGGTGGATATCCTATTTCCCGCATTCTGTGAAGCCAGGGAGGGGGATCAAGCTCCTGAATTGATGGAAATAATTTCAAAGGTTAGAAAATGAACACTCCATTGTTGTTTGATATTAAAAATCCTGAGCTCACCCCTAGGCCCAAAAGTTTCCGGGTTTCTGCATCAAGAACGCCTGGGCTTAAACCATCATACTTTCCCCTTTCAGAGCTTTGATAATACCGAATGCGAGAAACTGCATTTAGGTTCAGTTTGGATCTGTGCTGTTTCCTAGCAAAATTGACAGCGACAGCATCACGAGGCTTCTTGCAATCTTTCATCGAATGGCTATAGGAGTTACAATTAAAGCAACGGGAAGCTTCAACTAGTTCCACTCCTCTGCATACACAAGGTGAGGCACATTGTGAGGAAATTGCACCAGAAAACATCAATTGAAATAGAACTACCTTTGCCCCGGCTCAAGGTTCCCATTAAAAATTAGAGATGGCAATTTAACCCGACCCGATGGATACCCGCACCGAACTGAACCGGTCAAAACGGGGAAAACCGTGTTGACTGGGTAACGGGTACGGGTACGGGGAATATCCGATTTATTAAACGGGTAATGGGGCAGATACGGTTTTATAGCAACCCGCCCCGTTACCCGCCCTGTAACCGCCCCGTTTAGTTCGGGTACAGTTACCCGCCCCGTTACCCGACCCGTACATATATTACATATTATATATTTAATATATTTATGTATGTATTTCACATATAACATGTACTAGTATATTTTAAAAAATACTCCGTATACGTATCACTTATAGGAGAAGAAGAGTGCGCCGTTCCCAAATCCCAATTGTCTAATGCTCAAACCCTATTCGGATATCACTATGTGCTGAAGAGTGGAGACTGGAGAAGGAGAGATCGGCCGGCGGCCGCAGTCCTCATCTGAAGACGGCGGTCCTCATCGCTAGGCTGGGAACAGTTAACTCGGCTTCTCAGCTTCTTGCTCTTGAGTCTTGAGGAGTATAGTTGCTAGCGAGTAGCGACCTCGCTAGTCTCTTCCACGGCTCCACCAGTCCACCGCCTCCTGACCTCCTTGTCCAGTAATTACACACTAATTTTCTAAACCTAGTCTCAAATTTGCACCTGCATTTAGCCTTTCCCTAAATCGTTAATTCAAATTTCAAATTGATAAAACATAGGGATTTGGGACTTGGGAAATATATTGTTAGGTTGCTTGTGCCCTATCCCTTTGTAGTTCTATACGAGCAATAGATATGAGGGTGAGAATAATTTTTTGATTAATTTATTGGTATGACAGTACTTTTTTTGCTTAATTTATTGGTTTGACAGTAAGTTTTTTTGGCTTAATTTATTTGTGTGTTCTTATTTTGTTGGTGGCGGACCTGATTGTACGGTTATTTTTTTTCTTTTTGGGTGTGGCTGTGTAGTTCTTTGCTTAATTGTTTTGGCTAAAATGGTGATACAATTGATAGCATTATTGCGATTGTTGTGATATTTCGAATTTTATTTCAGTTTTGAACACCTAAAATAAGAGAGCTAGATCCGCCATTGCTTCATCTTACGTGTTGTGTTGTACTCCGTATAAGATTGAATAATTATCTAACTTTCCGTTTCAGCCACTCGTAAGTTACCCATTGCTTTGATTAACCACGATTGCTTTGATTAACCATGATTGCTTTGATTAATTGCTCTAAATGATATGTATTTCATTTTGTGTTGACTCTAAAAAAGTAATACTATTAGGGTTCACATTTCTCCTAGTTAATGACTATAGTATAGTTCAGCAAATTGGATTACTAGCTACATTCTTGTGATTCTGTCCGCCCATTTTGGTATGACATAAACATTTTTTTGTCTAAGCTGCTCTAATATGTTTTGCACTTAATATTATTTTCAATAGGTATTAGTGGTGCACCAACAAATCAATGTGTACCGGTTGGTTCATCTACCGGTGAGGAGTCTAAAGAAGTGACTGCTTCAAAAGATCAAGCAAATGGTGGGATTACTTTGATGAGGTTGAGGTAAATAACATTAAAAAAGCGAAATGTCAAGAGTGCAAAAAGTTACTAGGAGGTGATCCAAAGAATGGCACTAGTCATTTGAAGGAGCACGTTAACCGATGTCCAAGAAGGACAAGAGGTGGAGATATAAAACAAATGGTCTTAAAGACCAATTCGAAAGGGGATGTTTGTCATGCGTCTTATAATGAGGGAGAAGGGAGAATCACACTAGCCAAGATGGTCATCTTGCACGAATATTCTCTTTCCATAGTCGAACATAGGGGATTCAGAGAATTCACAAGCACCATTCAGCCTCTTTTCAAATGTCCTTCACGCAATACCTTGAAAAGTGACATTTTGAAGGTTTATGCAGAAGAAAGATGCAAAGTTCTGAATTTATTAGAAGGTGATGATTGTAGGGTGGTTGTTACTACTGACATGTGGACTTCAACCAATCAAAAGAGGGGATTCATGGCAATCACAACCCATTTCATTGATAAATCTTGGGTTTTACATAATCAAATCTTAAGGTACACACACTACACTATATTATAAACAAATAGTCAAATTTTGTGTAGTTAAAGTTGCTGATTTTTATATCATGTCTTTGTTGCTGGGAATTTGTTTGATATTATATATCTAATTGGAGTCATTGATTTGATATTACGCGCCATTGTATAGTTGATTGTTGTTATCATTTATATTTAGGTTCATATATGTGCGTTGCCCACATACAAGCGAAGCGTTAACAGAGGTATTGATTGAGGCATGGATGGAGTGGAATCTGGACTCTAGATTATCTACTATTACAATAGATAATTGCTCAACTAATGATAGCATGATTGGTAAGTTGACCAATAAATTGAATATTGAACATTTGTTAAAAGATGGTGCTTTGTTACACATGCGTTGTTCAGCCCATATCCTTAATCTTGTTGTGAAGATTGGTCTAGAGGTTATTAAAGACTTTATTAATACTGTAAGGGATAGTGTGGTTTTCTGGACATCATCTCCAAAAAGGGTAGAGAAATTTGAAGAGGTTTGTCTGGGAATGAAGTTGCCATATACCAAAAAGTTGGGCTTGGATTGTCCGACTAGGTGGAACTCAACTTTTTTTATGTTAAAATCAACTTTGCTTTATAAGAGTGTGTTTCCTAGGCTTAAAATGCGTGACTCACCGTATAAAGATGTGCCTTGTGAAAGTGAGTGGGAGATTGCAAAAGAAGTGTGTGATAAATTAGAGTTGTTTTATTCTGCCACAGAAATGTTTTCTGGGACAAAGTATCCAACTGCTAATTTATTTTTCCCAAAAATTTGTGAGATCAAATTAGAGTTGAAGGAATGGGCCCGTTCACCGGAGGTAGTTATTAGTATAATGGCAGGAAGCATGTTGGGAAAGTTTAAGGATTATTGGTCAGTTGTTCATAAGTTGATGGGTGTTGCGGTGGTATTAGACCCGAGGTATAAGATGGCTTTGCTTAGGTATTATCTTCCTATGGTATATCCGAAGGATCACGAGAAAGGAGGATGTTATTTGTGATGAGAGTGAAACTAATTCAACAAGTACAATAACTAATCGCATGAGTGGATTTCAAACATTTGTGAAAAGACTGAAAACATCAAGTTCCAATTGTAGAACAGAGTTAGATCATTATTTGGATGATGATGTTTTGCCAATGACCGATGATTTCAATATTTTATTGTGGTGGAAAGTTAATGGGGTCAAGTACCCTACTTTGCAAGCCATTGCCAAAGATATTTTGGCAATTCCTGTTTCTAGGGTTGCTTCGGAATCAGCATTTAGTGCTAGTGGCAGATTAGTTATAGTCCTCATCGGAATCGGTTACATCCAAAGACCATAGAAGCATTAATGTGCGCTCCAAGTTGGTTGTGGAACAATATAAAAGGTAGCTAAGTATCACAAACATATTTAGGTCTGTAACTAGTTTCCATTATTTGTTTTTATACTTGACTCATTCTGTTTTTTATCCTATAGATGAAGGACCATTTGTTTCAGATGGTTATGCTGCAATATATGAAGATGATATTCATTTGTATGAACCTGGCGAAATGGCAGAAAAGGTATGTATTATTATCCTATAGCTTGTTTCTTATTTTTTTTCATATTTTCCTATTGTTCATAAAGAAATCAATATTCTTCCCTACCAATTTATTTATGTAGTTAACTTGTGGTAGTTAACTTACCAATATTTAATCAATAGTTAACTTACCAATAAATTACCACCACCAACAACAACAACAACATCCAAGCCTTAATCCCAAAATAATTTGGGGTCGGCTAACATGAATCGATCTATGATATCGATGCCAAAAAGAGAAGGCGGACAAGAAAAGGAAAAAAAAGTAAGATAAAATGAATAAAATAAAGATACATAAATATAAGATAACAATAACACAAGAATATAACCAAGATAAAAGAAAAATAAATAAAAGAGCATAAAAAAGCTAGAAGATAAAAATAACATAAGAATATAAAAAGATAAAGAAGATAAACGATAAAAGAAACAAGAGAGGAAAGGTAGACAAGACATCAATCGTCCACATGGATGTGCGCCCTCCACTTTGCTCTCTCCAGAGCCATACTCTCATCCAACCCAAGAAGACGCATATCAGTTCTGATTACTCTAATCCAAGTCTGTTTGGGTCTTCCCCTCCCTCTCCTCTGACTCTTCTCCCCACCCCTCAAGTCGTCTAACAGGTGCATCACCCGGTCTTCTATGCACATGCCCAAACCACCGCAAACGAGACTCCTGCATCTTATCTTCTATAAGTGCTACTCCCACCTTTTGTTTGATTACTTCATTCCTCAGGCGGTCCTTTCTGGTATGCCCACACATCCAACGCAACATACGCATCTCTGTCACACTCATCTTTTGAATGTGGCATTGCTTCACCGCCCAACACTCTACGCCATACATTAATGCCGGCCTAATTGTTGTACGATAAAATTTACCTTTCAGTTTAGTCGGCATACATCGATCGCATAAAAATCCTGAAGCACTTTTCCATTTCATCCACCCAACTCTGATTCTATGACATAAAAATCCTGAAGCACTTTCAGTTTATTGGATTTTGATATTGAGTTATTGTATATGATTTTTGAGTGATTTTCTACTGGTGAATATTTTAATGTCATTGTGATTAAATTGGATTTTGAGAAAATATATGGGGAAGATATGGTAGCAATAAAAAGTTTGGGGTGGCCGTACATAACAACGGATCACCGGGCTCAATAAGAACTTGAGCACCGCCCTTCTAAATTACTAGGAGGATTAGTGAAAAAGAGATTTTTGAGAAATTCAAAGAGAAGAGAATTTTTGGTATTTCAAAGCACTTGGTTTGGAAATA